AGAGTTCTTCGCATGTCAGTCAGTGGCCGGCAAGGAAGAGATTCCCCCCCCCCGAAAGGGGGGTGCGATCGGCGATCGAAGACGCAGTGGGCGGGTATCGAGGTTTGGGGTACACAGAATGCAAGACACGCGTGCCAGTCAGAGCAAACAGTCTTAAACTGATCGTTGTCGTTGTCGTTGTCGTTGTCATCGTCGGCGTCGGCGTCGGCATTGGCGTTCGCGTTGGGGTCGTCGGCTCGTCGGCGTTCGCGTCGGCGGCGTCGTCGTCGCCGCCGTCTACAGATGAGGAGGGAGAGGAGGGGGAGGAGGAGGAGGAGGAGGAGGAGGAGGAGGAGGAGGAGGAGGAGAAGGAGGAGGAGGAGGAGGAGGAGGAGGAGGGAGAAGAAGAAGAAGAAGAGGAGCAGGAGGAGGAGGCGGATGAGTAGGGGGAGGTGGAGGGGGAGGGGGAGGATTGAGGCGGGGATGGGGAGGAGGAGGAAGATGAGGGGGAGGAGGAGGAGGAGGAGGAGGAGGAGGAGGAGGAGGAGGAGGACCCTGACCCTGACCCTTTCGAATCATGAAGAAGTCACGACGTTTTGCTTTCCCCGATGTTCGACTCCTGGGAGCCCTTACCGGGCCTCGGGACCGTCAAAAAACGACTCAGGATGTAAAGCCAGTCCAGGGGAATGGGTCGAGACCTCTGGGGCTGGACGTCTCATGACGTCGGGGGTCCGGGGAGGAGGAGGAGGAGGAGGAGGAGGAGGAGGAGGAAGAGGAGGCCCTTCCCCGGCTTCGCGCGTTCGTCGGAGGCCTCCCCGTGGTCTCGCCATGCTGCCGTTTCCCGATGACCATCTGGCAGTGCGCTGGATTCACCTTCGCCCCTGCTTTCTTCCGCTCGCCCAGCGGTGGAGACCGCTGGGGCGTGTGGGCAGGGCAGCACGTGCGGCACAACTCATGCCCCCAACACAGAGCGCCGAGGAGGAGGTGGTGGACGGCAAGGAGGGGGAGGGGGAGGAGGAGGAGAAGGAGGAGGAGGAGGAGGAGGAGGAGGAGGAGGAGGAGGGGGAGGAAGAGGAGAAGGAGGAGGAAGAGGAGGAGGAAGAGGAGGAGGACGCGGATGATGCGGAGGAGGAGGCTACGTTCTGACAAACTCTCGATCCACCAGCTGTCAGGTTCAGGAGGAGGAGGAGGAAGAGGAGGAGGAGTCGGAGTCGGAGTCGGAAGCCTTGGCAACTGGTGAGTCCACTGCTGCATTGCTTGGACTTGTCTCGCATGTGTGCGAGCTCGGTAGCTGCTGGCGGCATTATCGGCATAACAGGGGGTCAGCCTACGGGTCCCAAGGCCTTGTTAGGCCCATTTGGGCCCGCTGCAGCTCGATGCCGAGCCCCTTCGAATTTCACAAACATGGAATGACGGCGGAGGTTTATGACCTTGTGGCCCATCCCCTCCGTCTCGGGAAAACGGGTTTTCATACTTGTGCCTGACATTGCCATAAGAAACCCGTCTACTGTGTGCAGCTGAACAGTCTCCACGGTCCCCCACTCCCCCACCACTCCACTCCACCCCCCTCCCCACGGTAACGCTTTCAGGCACGGGCAGGAAGAGCTCAGGCATCGGCCCGAGACAGGATCCTGCTGCCTCGTCTTCATCACTGCTGTATTCTGTCCGCCTGGCCTCTTGGCCTCGGACACTGAAAACTAAACTGCGAAGAAAGTCATTAAGAGGAAATAAAACCTGCCGTTCACATATGCACGCTCATGATTACGCAATCTGGGGCAAGAGTACTGCTCACTGTTGGCGTGTCAGTTGTGCTAGCATTGCCTGGGCTCTCTGACTGCCCCTCTGTGCCATGGCTCGGAGTCCCTCGGTATCTACTGTGCTTGCTGCTGGCGCTCTTGGGGCGTTGCTTGCAGCTGTCTCTCGAGCTCCGACGGCGGAGGCTCTCCGAAGATCTGCTGGGCCTGCATCGCCTTGAGGGCGCGGCAGGTGGCCTGCCGCAGATCCTGCACTCCGAAGGTGCCGAACTCGATCTCCGCTTTCTCGTTGCCGACTCTCAGCGCGTTGGCATCGTCCTTCAGCTTCTGCGTCCATGGCGACGGGCTCAGGGAGTTGAACATGATCTGGATCTTCCATTTCTGCGTTTGAGCTGGCTCCACGTCTGCTTTCGTTACTCGAAAGTATGATAGCATGTCCGTGAAATCCTCCTGGTTCATCACCTCGATCAGCTCCGCAAACTGCGTGAGTATGTCCTTCGCCTCGCCGCCAATCTGGTCGCTCTTGGCAAGCTCCAGGAAGAAGTTTGCCTCCGTGCGGTGGTGTGGGGATCCCATCTCCTTGCTGCCCATGCTCTTGACCTCCTCCGCGTTGCGGATCTCTCCTTCTGCCGCGGCCTCCACTGGTTTGTTGTCGCCCTCTATCAGGAAGAAGTCCCATATGCTGCCTGGTGCCAGTCGTAGCAACTGGGCGTTGTTGGGCGGCATTTTCTGCTGGGGCATGGTCTCCTCGTGTGTGGCACCCACGCCTGAGCCAGGCTTGCTGCCAGCACTTTTCTTCGGGCTTCCACGTGCTTCCTTCTTTCGTGCTGGAGCTGTTTCTTGCCTCCATCGTTCCCGATCTTTGCCTTGACCTGGCGCGCTGCCTGCTCTCCACGCCATGTATCTCCGATGGGCCGAGCGCGTGTGTGGCTACGTGTAGTAGGTGTTCGTTAATCTCGGAGTCCTCTTGTCCGCAGACTCCGCACGTGTAAGAGCTCTTCTCTTCTGGCTTGAAATCGAAGGAAGTGGCTCTGGTGGGGCAGCGAGGGGGGTCTGAGCGGGACATGGTGGTCACGTGTCGTAGACATGACGCTCTGCTCGCGAAACACGTTCTGCGCCACGGGCATACGTTCGTGCTCAATATCATCGAGTGCACGTTGCGCATGTTGTGTGCGTGTGTGATGTGTGCCGTGAGCGCCTTCATCGTAGTGAACGACATGCCGCATCCTCGTCCTTCGCCCTCCTCTCCCAGCTCGTGCGTGCACACGTACTCGTCTACGATGCTGCTGTTGCTGCTGCTGTTGTCCTCCTCGTGCTGGTGCTCTGTGATGTGCGGGGGCGTCGTCTCGTCGATCGTTTTGATTCCAAGCTTCGGAGGAAACTGGCCAGCTTCTTTGACCCCTCTATGCTAAGGAAGTCCCTCTTGGTGCCCACTGAGATCTTGGCGAAGCTAGCTCCGAGGTCAGGGCCTTTGAACACCTGCAGCACGTTTTTCCTGTCGGTCCAAAGCATGTCGAAGCGGGGGTCGGCGTTCGCTAAGGCCTCTAGATTGTCCCGGACTTGGTATGCCCATGATGTGGAGTGCCTCGTCAGGTGTCCCTCTGGAGTGCATCTGGGGGCCTCGAGGAGCCTATCCATTTCCAGTGTTCCAAAAATCGCCGTAAGAGTTTGCCTGTGATTGCTAGGCTCCTTTGCTACTTGTTGCCACCAACGGATTCGCGGCACTCGGAGCTCTGTGGCTGTACGGCTAATATTCCAATGATCGAATACTTCACTGTTGTTCAATGTCCTAATGCGCCCGTCGAACACTCTTTTCGCTTTTCCGTGCATCAGGCCACGCAGCATCTTCACCAGCACTGTGTCCAGCTGGCTGGTAAATTGCGCAGGCAGCACGAACGCTGTCAGACCTGTGATGGCGGCGCTGTAAGCGAAGCACAGGAAAAGAGTGCGCAGCAGTCGGTGATGGAGAGGCTGGTGCCAAACGTCTCCCAGCGATCTCCATGCAGCCTTGGCTCCTTTGATGCGCGCCTTCAGCTCGGTCCTCAAAACTCCGTCGAAGCTCATGATGGGCCCCAGGATTCTGGCTTCTCGAAGAACTTCTCCCTGGATTTTTTTTCTGTCTGGATAGTTCTCGTGCTGCTTCAAACGAGCCGTGGCCATAAAAACTGACAAGATGGTTTGTCTTGTCCTTGTTGAGGACGTGACCATTATTGGCGATGTGCTCCTGAAGCCCCTGGGTGGCATGATTGAGCTGCTGTGTGATGTAGCGCGCTGGTGGTGCGTAAGCATGTATGTGTAGCCGTGATACGTCATCTACAAAAAGTCCGATGCCAACGTCAACTTCGGCTCGAGTGATAGGGCACGGACCCCGGGTCCACGTATAGCGAAGATCCGTGGCGGCAAGGCTGTCGTTCCAGTTCTCTACCGTGGGCAAATACATGTCCACGAAATCGCCTGCCGCCAGCGAGTGGCCCATGGTCGTGCCGCGCTCTGGATGAACATCGGCCGTGCCATCGATGGCTTCAACATGTATGGTTGCTTGCAGTACTGCTTGGTCAGCTACATGAACATCTTCTGCTCTGTATGTGTTGCTGTGTAGGCTAGTGATGCTGCTCTCGTGCGCGCATGCGAATGCATTTGTGCCGTCGTAGCTGCTGATTGTGTGCCCGAGCTTTGTTTGCCTGCATCTCCAGCTTGCTGCTGCTAGGCTAAGAATGCACCCTTCTCGTCTACGTCCCCTCAACCCTCCGTGTGCAAAGTCTGGTGGGCATGGCCTTCTGGAAGTCCTCTGACGGTACCCAGAGTAGCTCATTCCAAACGCATCGAAGCAGTGAAGGATCCTTTGTCCCTTGATGCCATGCTTCTGGTTGTTCTTGCTCTGAGAGAATGCCTGGCTACGTATGCTGCTGAGGGGGGCCGAGCCTACGAGCCTAATAAGGGCCAGCATGTCGTTGTATCTTCTTGAAACCGTTTCGGGCACAAACTTTCGGTCGTTGTCGTTTCGGTAGCTCTTCGGGTCGATGCACATGCACAGGGCCTCTGCGAGTACCCCCCCAATGATGGTCCTGCACGTCGTTTTGGGGCTCTTTTTAGGTACCTCACTTGTCCTGCTCTGTCCTGCTTAATCCTATCGATGATGTCGGGCGAGCCGTAGAGGTGGGGGAGGAACGCTCGGTCTACTATCCATGCGTCCCATTGTATTCGCTCACACTGCATGCCGCCGTCTTCTGCTGCCTGCGCGAGCCCCTCCTCCCACTGCTGCAACTTCATGCCTTCTCGGGGGGCGAAGATGACTCTCTTCTTCGGTCCACGGCCTGTGTTGGACAGTCGCGCTCGCAGTCGATGTGCTTCGGCAAGCCTCCTTTTCTTCCACGCTGTGCTGATCTCCTGCACCAGACTCGTTGTTTTCTTCATCTTTTGCTCTCTTCTGACCTGTTGAAGCTGTCTTGATATCTGGTGCAGCTTGATCTCGATGCGGTCGAACTCTGTCGATCCTTCGCCGTCGAACGCCTTGGAGCCCGTCTGGTGTATAGCTTCTCTTAGGCGCCCTCTTTCTTTCAGCACCAAAATCCGTTCCTGTCTCATTTCTTCGTACTCTGCCGTGTCGTACGCTACTTTGGGACAACTCTCTGCCATGGCCTGTCGAATACATGAAGATACCCTATCCCAACATCCCTGAACATCGCCTTGGTCCCACTTTCTGCGCCGCTCCTCTTCGCTGATGCCGTTGGCGTGCTGCTCGACTTTTTGCAGGAACTCCACCCGTCGTACACCATCGTTGTATGCCCCCATCATGCTGTCTCTGTTCGCGGGCGGCGTCAGCTTGGGGATGTGGGCGCGCGTGACATGGATGTCCATGTTCACGTATACTGGCACGTGGTCATGCAAATGTGTGCTGACGTACCTTTGTAGTCGTCGCGCGAGACCCAGCAGTGGGTGTAGTTGCCGTATACGCCCGAGACTCTCGATGGGCACCGCGATGTGATCAATCTTGCTCTTGTGCGTGCCCTTGTAGAAGGTGGGCCCCCTAAGCCAAAATGTGTCTGCCATGGCCAGGTAGCTGCCTTGGAGGAAGTCTCGTGCCTGCGTGCTAGTCTTGCTCTCGACTGCTGGCTCTTTTATTCCGACGTTCTCTGACTCGGTCTTGTATCTTCGCCCTGTGCGATCTGTTTGCCATCCAAAACCACAATTGCAATCGCCTGCAATAATCGGCATGCGCGAGCACCCAAGTTTATCAATTTTTCTCTCGATCCACTCTAAGATACATTTCGTGGTTGCCTTCAACATTGAAACTGCAATCCCCTTCGGTTGGATGTATATTGGGAAAATCGCCAAGCTAGTACTGCCAAGGTTGAACTGTGCCATAGCCACCCGCCCTGTTATACCCAAATGCGGCGGTGGCGTGGCAACTCTCATGAGCGTTCCTCGAAATCTTTTTCCATACAATATGCTCAGTCCGCATGAATTGTTTGTAGCCCTCGATCGTCGCCATCCAAAGTTCACTGCTTGATGATGCGGGAGCTGGCACTTGGTCGTGTCCGCCTGTCTCGCTGCTCGTCCTGTGCCTATTGCGACGAAGAAGTCTACGCTCTCCACCTGCATGGATATCTCTGCCAGTCTAGTAAAATCTGCCCATTGAACATTATGGTATATCACCTCCATTACTCGGGTGTGTGGGGGGAGTGTGGTTGTGCTGCGATCGCTGCCGCCCGAGTGGCACCGTCCCTCTGCTCTGCCCTGGCTTCCTGCACACAAAGATGTGCTGTGCGGGGCTGGCCTTGGGTGGAGCACGCGGGCGCTTGTGCCTGGGCGGCTCCTGAGGAGGAGGAGGAGGAGGAGGAGGAGGAGGAGGAGGAGGAGGAGGAGGGGAGGGGTGGGGGAGGAGGAGGGCTGGGGAGGCGGGCCCAGTCTTGGTTAGAGACGGCGGGCCTGCTCTCGCCAGGGGCTCCGGGGCGTGGTGCCGGAGGCGTGCGCCCCAGGATACCCTGTTGTTTGATCCTGGCGCTTCCTCGAGGGCCCCAGATCACCTCGAGAGGCGACAGGGAGGAGGCGGGGGCAGGAAGGAGAGGCGGGAGGAGGGGGAGCAGGAGGAGGGGGAGGAGGCGCCAGCCCCAGGCGCGGGTGGGCGTTCAGACGTTCAGAGGAGCGGCAGCGCACGTCGTGACACTACGGGCAGATTGTCGACGCAAAACCTCCAAGTCGGCCCCTCGAGCCACCCTGGGCAGGACCTCTGGATGGGGGTGACGGCTTCGGCCTCTCCCAGAGGGCCCCAGATCCCCTCGAGAGGCGAGAATGAACGGAAAACGCACGTTTGTTCCAATGCCGCTGCCAGGGGTGCAGCACTGGCTGGCCGCCCTGGCCGCCCACGGCGACGCACCTCGCCAGGTGCGTGCCCTCCCCTCCATCCCACCCCTCGCGGCCGGTTTCGCTTGTTTCTCCCTCCTCCTGCTGGTGGTTGGTGTGCGCTTTCGGGTACCCGGACCGCCTGAGCGCGCGCGCGGACGGCCTCTGCCGCGCTGTGGCGTACAACATGTGTGCTCACATGGTGTGGCCAGTCGGCTCTACGGGACTGGCGCGCGCCTCAGCCAGGCAAGGCCCAAGGGCGAGGCGGCCTCCAAAATGGGCTCGAAGACGAGGAGCCGACAGAAGCTGGCCCAAGCTGGTCCCCGAGGGCGAATCGAACCGAGTGGGCTGTTTTTTCCAATCAAAAACAAGGAATCGGCGACCCACACATGGTCACAGGAGGCCCCCCTGCCAGGCGTCTCCA